GTCGCTAAGCTGACATGCGCATGCAAGTTATACTGGACTCTCTTTCCCCAGCGATTCAACGAGCGTCGGAAACGAGAGGCCAGGACTGGACTAGACTGTCTACCTGAATGAAGATTTTGTACTGGGGCGAGCGAAATGTTCCCAGTCCAGCACAACGCTTCTTACACGTGATCACTTTACATAAAACCACGTTCGGACACAGGCAGCCCAAACAATTGTTTACTGGTATTCAGATAGAATGGGGTGTATTTGATTAGGGATCAGCGACATGATTGGTAGCAAAGATTAATAATAAGGTTTACTTTTCACATAATGGTGGGAATCATAGTTCAATTCTATCCTTGTGATTGGATCACTCCACGTTTTAGACTTAATCGGGATCAAAAACGATTTTCATGAATTCACTTGGATCATGAAGCGACATTCCTGAATGGATCAAAAATATTTTTACAACCCTTGGTATTGTGTTCATAAAAAAATACCATTTAACGTTACAAACCTATTTTTTATAATTATAGCGAGAGTCTCTGTGACATCATTTCACAGATATTTTCCGCATCTCACATGTTGCCTCATGATTTTTGCATTATAGTTCACTGACAACATAGTTTACTTTTATTTTTTTGTTTACTTACTTTTTCCGTGAAACTAATAATTGAAGTCCTTCAAACACTGCAGCTCTGATACCTTCAATCGTCACATTATCCAGGTTCTGACATTTAAATTTTTCTTCAAGGCGTTTTGATATTTCTTGCAGGTCACTTTTGGTACTTCCTGCCATAATTTCCTGGTCTACCTTGTTATGGACATCCCCGACTTGCTTCCATGCAACTTTTCGGTGAGATTCCTTTGTGGTTTTCATGGCAGAAGTGTAAGGAATCATAAGCGACATATCTCTATTTTCTCTTACTTCCGTAAAATACAAGTTGGTTAAGTCAAAAAACGTGTCATCAAGAGGCAATTTGTTCACTTCGTCTTTTACAAATGACGCAAAATCATGGCTTGATGGGTTTTCTTTGGTTTTGTTGTGTTTTAGATACCATGCCTTACATAAACTTCTTGCCAGAAGTGATTGATACGCACTCAAAGGAACAAGCAACATCTGCTTGATCGTTTCGGCATTTTTCCGTTCTTCTTCTGGTTGACGGCTTTGTTCTTGGTAAATCGTCTCTAACACTTCTCGATTCTTCTCGATAAAGACGCCAAGCAACAGGCTCATTAGTTCAGCCACGTCGTCTTCTTTCAGCGATTTGTCATGTAGTTTCTCGACTAGCGTTTCCAAATCGTTCAGGTCTTTCATGAACGTTTCTGTTAGATAAGTCATTGACAAACATCTTTTCAGCAAGCTTATCGTTTTGGGCAAAATATTGACTCTTACGTCAGAGATGACTACAGCTGCTTGAGTAAGTTCAGAAGGATCCTCTGAACAGAATAGGTTGCTCGTCGGGATTATATAGTGAGGGAGATAACCTTCTTCCGCACTCTTTTGCAATCGATCCAGAATCAACAACAAACAGCTCGACATATTACTTTCCATCCAAAATGACTTGTCTTGCTTTTCAATTTCCCAAAATAGTAAGTTCTTCAAGTGATATGAAGATATCACGTCTGGGAAATAAACCTTTTTGATCATTTTGAGGAGCACAAGAACATGGCGTTGCACAGGAGATACACTTTCGCCGAGTTTGTTTTTAGCAACAGAGAAAGACAACCTCCACTCAGTTTCGTCCATTTTGCTCAGGTCTTGGCTGTCTTGATCATTTCTAGAAGATGTTGATGCTTGCGCAGGGCTTTTATCATAATCAATGTACTCCAGTAACTCTTTCTGGCGCTTTCCTCTTCCAACGGGAGCCAAGTGACATCCCGATTCAATTATACTTTGAAGAAGTTCAGGCGATGGCCAGGCATTCTGTCTTGGGCGAATAATCCACTCCATTGCCTCTTTAGGCCATGCTAAAGGATACTTAAAGACGCCAGTCTGGTCTTCCTCAATACCGGCGACAAAGCCAGAATCGTTCTGTGCTCGTTGAAGTTTTCGCACTGGACCATGCATTTCGTATGTCCACCCTTGAACAACAAAACCAGAAAACCAATTGGATGGTACCAAAAAAGTATGGTTGACAAATTCTGCATTCTTATACCTGGGTTTTGCCTCTTTCCATTGGTCGGTGAATCTTAGATGCACATACCTATAACGTGACAGAAAAAGAAGGTTGTCTGGTAGTGATACTAGTAAATATCAGACATCATACATACCTAGGATCATCTGACACGTGTTCTGGTGTGAAAATAGCGATTGATTTATTGTTYTCATCCTCGATGMAGCATTCTTCAACTTTCATCTCATCTAAATCTGGTGTCCAGRATTTCCTTTCATGTAARGGAACATCTCCTTCACGATCTGAATACAGGAGCCGAGGAATGCAAAAACCCTCGGCTCGGCTACCAGTTGGTAAGTAAGACGAAGAGGAAGAACAGAGGGATTCTGGATTAAATAAAAGTCTTGCTTCTCTCTCAGCATGCCACCAATTCCAGTCTCCATACACTTGTTCTATGGGGAACAAGCCATTGATGAGCTCTGAGAATGGTTCCAGCCAAAGTTGAGATCTTTCATCATAATGAAATCGAGACAACTGCAGTAAGAAAGTAGAATTATAAATTTGTGCAAGAGACCCTTAACTTGAACCATATCGTGTGCTATAATGTCCTTTGAGCCTATATGAGTCCAGTCTCTTTAGTATTGTTGTTAGTAGCCTCTCCCTCACAGCCTCTCACTGCACAGACCAGAAAGATCTCAGTCGCTGGAAATCGAGCATTGCGACATGTAGAACTATTTTTCATAGCGTGCTTGATTGGGTATGAGGAAATATTGATGCTCATTGCTCGAAACCTATTGTCCAACTTTAATATTGTGTTGCGGACCCATATTCTTTATAGTCTTTATCCAATGACGATGTGTTTCAGTTTCGATGTTCAATTTTTGAATAAATAATCTATCTCTTACATGTAATTGCTTCCTAATTCACAGATTTAAAGCAAGTGTTTGGTATATAACTCTATTATTGGAACAACACTTATAAATTCAAACAAGAAACAGTTAAAATAKACCCGATATGGGCTCCAGGCTTGTTCGATCTAATAATTMAGTTCTGGTCGCTTTATGTTTATTAGACCTCATCAACWGGATTCAGGCGATTCAGTAATGACAAATGTAGCCACAAAGACTCTAGAYTCTTCATGCATATATGTATTTTAATATGTACTTTAATTTTGATTCTGAACATAAGTTTAGTAGCATATTATGCTCAGTGGTGTCTGCATTTTGTGTTACCAAGGATAGATCTGTCTTGTTAAAAGATGCGAGCAGATACTTCCAACTTCCCTCATGCTAAGAAAAATAATTCATTACAAACTATTTAATTCCGCTTACCTTAATTTCCGCCATG